TAAAACACAGCCAAGACAAGTTACTTGTACTGTCCAAAGGTCAGTTTTATATTATTGGATATGGTAACATGAGTGCATGTGTGCCGCGTCATTGTAACTTCTGTATTGTTAGCCAGGTATGGCTGAAAGATCAATATAATAAAAATAATAAATATATATAAATGTATAATGTTATGAGACTTAAGCTATTTAGTCTAAACGTTTATGTTTTTGTGTTATATTTTGTGTTCATTCTAGAATGAAAAAGGCAAAATTTATATTTATTTCCTAATTCTTTATGATGGTTACGAGATCAGTCAAATTTACCAAATCCGTACAGAGATTCATTACTGAAAATAACAGATAAAATATCAAGTTTTTTTCTTAAGAGACGTTTTATAACTATTCTAGACATTATAAAGATTTTGCATGTGAAACTTAAAATTTTTCTGATGTATAAAAGTATGTTTAATCTTAAAATGAAAATTACTTTGCATGTTAGATAGGCAACATGTGAAAAGAAAAAAGCATGAGAAAAACATTGCTTTACAAACCTTAAGACTTAATAAAAAAATTAGATATTTTGTGTATGAAAGAATTGTAATGTTTACTGATAATGTGCCAAATTTTGTTAACAATCATTTACTAATTTATAAGTTATAGCATGAAAACTATAAAAAGCTCAAAATGGTTACTAGGTCGGTCCCACAAGATTAAAACACCAACAATATAGTGAAAGCAATGGCTTTTATGTCATGTTGCTTAGCAAAAAAAGTATATAGGTTATATTTTTATGTTAAAATGGGTTCAGAATATACCCACTATCAACCTAATAACCTGAGCGAAGCTCGGTACTTTCGCTACATAAACATGAATTTTTCCTCTCCATTTTGTAAGTAAAAGTTAAAAGAAAAGTTTAGTACATTAATTGACTGAGACAAAGCTACGTAGAAACTTAAAACTTATAGAAGATGGCAAAACTGTGCTGAGTTCCATTTCTTTAAACCAATATTAACTTATATATTTATATATAAACAGTAGAGTATAAAAGTTTAAATAGTATTCAATTACCTAAATTATGTGTAAAAGATCAATAGGGTTTTGTTGATTGTGTAATCTTGACTTCTATTAAAGAATCGGAAGAATCTATTTCACCCTTAGTGTAATCTTATTTTTGCCTTTACTGATTACTTTGAACATATTGAAGGATGGGATGATGTCACGGTGAATGCCAAACAATGCTTGAACTGTTCTGGAACCTAGGATTAGACTGTTCTTTTAAACAATCTCCCAATTTTCTGACAGCTGAGCCAACATTAGTGCCCCCACACACTGAGCAGCAGAATTTGCAAATGACATGTGACTGTTGAGAAAAATGGATTTGTTCTTTGTGTCATTAAACTTAAAAATACCTTGTACTCTCACTAGACGTCTAGACACGCATTGAAGGTGAAGTTGTGAATAGTGCAAGTGTGAGCCTCTATATGATAGAGAGATAATTACGTGTAGCTTTGGGACATCATAGTTTAGTGATCTGGATAGAGGTGGTTGTTGAACAGTTTTATTGTCAGTGATTTTAGTCTGAGTAACTGTTGCTGTCTTTTTTTTTGTTAAAAAGTGTAGAGAAGAGCATTGTTGGTGTTAACAGGTGAATGTAATGTTAACATGTCTAGAATTAAAATATTCTACAAATTTCACTAAATGCTCTTCATTTTTAAGTACTACAAATCAGTCATCAACATAGCCAATGTAAATAAGCAGCTTGAATTCAGCAGGATTATCCCTTAGTCATTTACTTTCATGAAAACACACAAGAATATTAACCATTACAAGCACTAAGCTAGACCATTAAAGAGGAGTAATTAGTTTATTAAAACTTGTCAGTTTAACATCAACTTGTTGTGAAGAGTGTCCCAGTAGGGTGAATTTTTCATACAGTAATAGATTGGTACTTTAGATTTTAACCTTTTGTCATTTTTTGGGCATTGTAGTCTATTTTTAAGAATATTGTTTTTGTATTTATTTATTTGTTGTATGACATAAAAGAAATGAATTAGTTTCAAAATAGTGACAAACAACTTGACTGAATTGTGAGGGATAAACAATACTCATACAGAAGGAACAAACAATGTACTGACAACTTGTGGGTAAATTTACTGACGGTATAAAACAGTATCACATAAAATGGAAAATAAATTAATAAATCATACAAAGCATTAGTGAATCATCTGCTTTACATAAGGCATTACACCTTGTTTAATGTCCTGTATTGTCCCTCACAATTCAGTCAAGTTGTTTGTCATTATTTGACCTTTTAGGTTTTTACCTAAGCCCAGCAACCTCAAAAATGTTCACCACATTGCAGGACAAGATGTTTAGATATAATTTCACCTCATTTGTTATAAGCTTGAGATGGCTGTCTTGCCTAAAGTGAATTTCCATGTGATGAGTCATGTTCCTGATAATTTGTCTGTAATTTTCAACAGTCATAATTCTGTCAGTTATGTGTAGATCACAGATATTGTTAGATGTTGTACTAATTCCCCACCATGTTGTACATTTTCCTCTATGCTTTTGAAATACTGTCATTGATTGTTGCTGAACAATTTAAACTTGAATCAATCTTTAACGAGCACATGTCTCCAGATTTGCTCATTCCACTGTTTATGGTCCTATGACCATTTTTACTTTTTGGTTTGGTTACTTTTCAGTTGTAGTTTTTGAGTAGCTACACATCCATTGAAACCACTGCATGCTAATGTGTATCTTACTGTTCTTGAGGTAACATTCGCAAACGTATATATGGTAAGGTCATTGGGAAAATCTGTACTCAGACATAATATATTTGTTAAAGAACATGCCCTGAAACATTTAACATCACTTTAGGAGAATGTCAGTTTTTTTGCCTCAACTACTTGTATTATTTTTTGTGCAAGTTTCACATACCCTCTTAAGTTTTGCCTTTAGTTCTTACTGAAACATGAAGTTTTGCCATAGTTTTTGCATGGAGAAACCATGAACAGCATAGAGTTTGACTTATACAATCTTGTGCTGTGATATTTCAGCCTGGGAGCACTGACTAAAATCACACTCCTACTACTAGGCATAGTATTATAGGCTTGATACTGATGTTGCATTTTCTAATTGGTTGGAAGACAGCCAATCATAGTGTAAACTACCAGTATATGATTGCACTTTGGTTCAGTTCTTTTTCATATAATAAAATAATGGTATTCCTATATTATTTATCTTTTATACACTTTTTTACTCATCTTTACAATCATTATTTTCATTACTGTTGGTTAACTGTTAAAGTCTGTTTTCTGTAATATTCCAAGCTTATTTTTCTTGGTCTCTTCTGATAAAAACTTATTTATTTTTGTTTCAGCCAATGATGTCTTGCTTTCCCACATGATTACTTTTTTAAATGATAAGGTAAGAACATGCTTTTTTTAAGTAAAGTACTTTTACTTTTTACTTATCTTAAACCAGAAGTTCGTCTTATTGGAAATAACTTTTAAATTAACTTGGATTTTGCAGTATATTTGAATTTATTTCTTATCAATAAAAATTACCTAACAATAAATAATGGTAGAAGTGAATGACTTTTGATTAAATCTAGACTAATGCTCTAAACTTTAACTTTTTATAAACCTTGTTTTTTTTTTAAATGTTTGGTTTCATCAGGATAATAAAAATAGTTTCATCAAGCAGGCATATATATATATACAATCATTGAACAGTTGCTCTGCTGTATAATATTGAATAATGAATCTGATGAAATGCCATAACCCAGGCAATACTAGGGACTTGTTTGAGTCAACCATGGCCAAAGGAAAGTGATGATATGTGAGTTGTCGATAAAGTTTGCTGTAAAGTCCCATGGGAGCAGCCAGTGTTTTGCCACAATTCAGCAGGTCTTTGGGGCAGTCGATCCTTCCCGGCTAGTAAAGCATACTGATGATGCTCCAAGACCATGTATGGCATCTGAGGTTCATGGAGTATTCTACTCTAGACCTCTTGTGAGGACACTGCATTTACCAAGATGGACTGTATTAGGAGGAAGCAGGTCTGCACCATTATTTAATTATGGGGGTGATGTAAAACAAGTGAACCTGTCAGGATGTTAGAGGATAGAAAAAGGAGGATTTTGACTGTTTCCTCAATCATTTGTACTAGTTACTTGGAACAGATGGACTCAGGTACAATCTTGAATTACCTGTTCATAATTTTAAGGCTATCACACTCTACATGTCTACATGTAGCAACTTAATGACTAGGACACATTCATCGATGATGTGCACCACACATTTGATCTTGTATGAGTAATTTGTTAAAAGAAGTAAATGTGGTTAACTACATAGGTTATATATTTTTATTTCTGGAAGATGATGTTTCAAGCTATTACTCTTCATCAAATCACAAAACATAGAACAAAAACACATATGCAGGTGAAAATTGCATGTACAATATTTTGAATGTGAAGTTACAAACTTCTTTGAAAAATTACATCCATTATATAAATATTATACAAGGCATAAAGAATTAAAGGAATAAATTAAAAAGATGAATAAAATAAAGCTTTAAATTACAATTGAATCAAATTAGGGAAAAGTGAAATTCTGTAAGAAAGCAAAATGTACTTGCTTAAAGTCATTATAGTTTTGACACTACTAACTTTTAATATGGTATGTATATCTACACAAAAACTTGGCAGACTTTCAGTAAATATTATAAGTCTTTCACACACAAAAAACCAGATTTTTTAATGAAGTATTTTTAATCAACTAAAAAAAGATTTGTCTGTGAATATATCATCTCTTTTTTTTTCCTGACTAGTCCTTGGGCAAAGTGATTTTTATGTTAGAATTAAAAATGCTTTTCTTCATCTCAAAAATCTCAAATGTCATTTATGTAATCTCTAAAACCTTCTAAATATGTTTCAAACGTTTTTTCATTAAAACGTTATATTTTATCTGTAATTTTCACTACCTTAACTGTATACAATGTTGGTCAATTTGACCGACCTAATAACTACCAAAAAAAAATCAAAATAAATATAAATTATCTTTTTTTCTTTCTAGAATGACTTCAGATTGTAACATGAAACTACATTCGTGTATCCTAAGTAGCTCTAAGTCTGTAACAGAATACATCTATTTATAACTAAATTTTATTGTTTTATTGCTCTTTGATTGCCCTTTGAACTGTGAGTAACTACTATTTGTGCCATTATAAGTTGTAAATCACTTGGGGAAAGTTGAATTGACGTAATGCTATCGAATTACATTACCTACAAGCCACTCCGAGCTGCTCGTAAAACATTTTTATTATATTATTATTATTTATTTTACCTAATCTAACTTTAACTAACCTAAAGAGATTCCAATTTTTACATTTTAGTTGCTTTTATAATAATAAATAAAGAATACACATGAAAAACAAGAAATTTAGTACTTAGCCTGGTCTTCTTTTTTTTTCCTGTTGATGACACTTAATCTTACTTTTTTATACTAATGGTAGTAATGAATGCATTAAATAATGCTCCAAAGAACATAGAATAATAACATTCAAAAAGCAGACAGTGCCTCATAACTGTAACACTTTTTCTGGCTTTCTAACTATGTGACAACAGCCATTACAAATTCATCCAAGTTCGATGACGAGGAACCCACTTTGTGACTAATAATAATTCATCCAAGCTAGTCAGTATGTTTCCCAAGGGAATGAAGCTTGTACTAAAAGAGAAATTGACAATTCTCTGTTCAGAAAAGAATGTAATATATTACTTCATTTGATAGATGAAAACGTTGGCTTTCTATTGGTTATAAATAATATATTATTAAACAAAAGAGAGATGTGACAAGTGGGTGCGGTAAGAGGGGTCGGATTTTCTATCTGTTGGCTCTGTAACCATACAAGATTGAAAATTATGGTTTGTCTCAGCAATAAAAATTTTATAGTGAGTAATTTAAGTTAAATTTTGTACTTATTGGAGTGGTAATGAATAAATTAGAGAAGAGGGATTCCTAGCAAAAAAAATGTCACATTTCTCACACTAGGGGAAATTTTGGATTTTTTTTTAATATTACCTATACAATTAAGAACTTAAAACTTGTAGACTATTAAAATATAATTTATTAGCTACAATTTTATGCTGTATTAATTGGTATAACATAAACAAAAACTAGTTTAATTAAAGTTTGTAAGTCACTAAAAACCTCATGACATGCACAGTAAAGGATACCCTTGTAGAGAGGGTTAAGCAGACATTTCACCAACAAGCATACATTTGATTACAAATTTCACATTCTGTACATGCACTGGCTTGAAACATCATATTCTAGAAATAAAATATACAAAACTTGGGAATTTTGTAGCATATTCTTTAGTTTCTTAGCAATCTCATCAGTAGAACGATGGCAACAACAACAAACATTTGACAAGCATTTAATTCATGAGTGTTTCAGAATGTACATATTCCATCTTCATTAAGATATATTGAACAAGGTGAAAGATTCCTTTGCTCAAGAATTTTCTAAAATTGATCAGTATATACTTTTGCGTTTCGACATTGAACCGTTATTCACAACCATTTTAAATAATCCAAGAACAGTTTGATGTGATTAGAGCTTCAAAAGAGTAAAGATTTATCCACATACCTTCTACATAAAGCTGGTTTTTATTCAGCAGGACAGGTGTCTAACCAAGAACGCTCATAGTGATAACGAAAAGTGTTAACAATAGTCAACCCATTGCCACGCCATCTATTTGGACATATAGTTGACCACTGAAGACAAGAAGATTATAATTCTTGAGGGCAAGTTTAAGTAATTCTTCAAACTGTTAATGGCTAAAGCTTGTGGATATTTTATTTCTGTTGAAGAAAAGTTTTTTAAGACTATTTGTATTGTTTCCTCGAGTGAAATTTGAAACACCCTAACATTTATTTTACTTGTGAAACTGAAGTAAATGGTAACTTACCCTTTATTGATATCCAAATCAGCTGGTTAGATAACCATTTCACAACATCTGTTTATAGTAAGCAAACATATACAGACTTACATACATGTTTCAACAGTTTTATTCCAAACTCCTTTAAACGTAATCTTATACTCTGTAGAGTGTATAAGATCTGTTCTGACTACATCTTTCTTCATACCAAAATGACCACCTTACAGAATATTTTACTAAACAATAGCTATCTCTTGAATTTTATTCAAGTCCTAACGCACAAGTTCCTTTCTCACGAAATTGTACCCCCTAAGAAACAATACACTGTTGGCAAATACCCATTAAGACTGCTTGATCCTTTTTTTTTTTGGTAAGTAAAGTTTCATAGCAAAGTCACAAATTTTTAGAATAATTAAAACTTTTTTATCTACAAGATAAACTACAAATGATATTTAAATCACCTTTTAAGGTACAAAATCTATTCAGATCTAAGACCTATTAATTACCCCTATGCATTCCTGGATTGTGTTTAAATACACATGTGGTGGCTGTAATGCCACTTACATTGGCAAACTACACACAGATTACATCTGTGAACATATGGGAGTATCAAACAGAACTGGTAAAAACTATCAAATCCTACAGACTCCAAAATTCACACACATAGTGAAAACAACACCACCCCTTCTTGATTAAGAATTTTAAAGTCATCTCATCTGGATCATCCAATATTGAACTTTTAATTAAAGAAAGCTTATCTATTATAAATATACTCCCAACTTTAAATAATAATAATACAGCTCTGCTACAATTAAGTCTATTTATTGATCAATTTTAAGAATTTCTTGAGCAAAGGAATCTTTAATATATCTCGCTGAAGATGGAATATGTACATTATTAAACATTCGAGAATTAAATGTTTGTTACCATACTCGTCAAATTTTCATTGTTTTTGCTGTCATTTTACTGTATATCATTAAACTTGGTTCTCCTCCAATGAATGCATTAGGCCAGTCTCAAACCTTGTATATTTCTTAGTGATATTCCTCAAGAGGCTGCTGAGTGAACCAATGTAGTACTACGTTGCTCTGAGGGACATTTTGTTTCTTACAAAGGCATGGTTTAAAAATTATTATATCACGCTGTACACTAGAGTAGTAAAGGATGTCTTAGCAGTGAAAATTCAGCTGTAGAGTAAGCTTCAAGATATCCTAGCAAAACCTTTGATGGCCTCAAATGAAGTACCTGTCACTAGTTCCAGTGTACCAGATGCTAAAAGGTGTCATGGTATAACCACCTTGGTTTCAACCAGATGCTAAAAGTGTCATGGTATAACCACCTTGGTTTCAACCAGATGCTAAAAGGTGTCATGGTATAACCACCTTGGTTTCAACCAGATGCTAAAAGGTGTCATGGTATAACCACCTTGGTTTCAACCAGATGCTAAAAGGTGTCATGGTATAACCACCTTGGTTTCAACCAGATGCTAAA